TTGTTTAGCTCTTGCTGTTATAGTTCTGCTAAATCTGAAGCACTTAGATCATACGTGTAAGTCTCATTAGTCCCTGATTCCTGACTGTAAGCAAAAAGCCCCCATTATATAACTGAGGTAGCAAACATACTTTTAAAGAGTCAGCTTCTCAAAGTAAAATAGCAAAAAAATGAGGTGGCAGCTGAACATAATAGGAATATTAGTTCTTAACCACAGCATGGTTAAAAAGATGACCAAATAAATTTAAAATACATACTGCTTTGTTTTTTCTTTTAAACTGGAGACAAGCATTTTTATACTCCATCATGGACATTTCTAACTTCATTACAGATATTTAATGATGGAGACAATGACACACTGTTCAACTGAAAGACAGCAAACAAGGCTACCCAAACACCATTTTAGTTGAGCACACATCATTATCTGTTAAAAGTGCATCTACCACAGTTTTGGATTTTAACGCTGATGAATCTTCCCATCAATACACAGACAGATATAAGCATGTCAACAATCAGTTTATTTACAAACCTGTCACATACAAAAGTCATCAGTAGACTCCAGAACACTGAGTCTATTGATGGTACCAATGAAAATATTGGCATTGTCCCTTCAATTTCAACAAAGCAGATAGACTTTGACTGAGGTGGGTTTTTTTACTGTGTTTTAGTTAAGTAAGGGTCATGCACCCAGAAGTCTAATGAAGTCTCAAGAATTTATTTAACATAGTCAATAAAAGGTAAGTATACAAGTCAGCCTATTCTTAACTATAGCTATGTCTTCAAGCAGAAGACACAAAATTCCTGAAACTACAACCTTTATTAGAATTATGATCAACCTGAATACAAAGTATAATACTGCTTTTTTATTGTAATTACTTTTTTAATAAAGCATCCAAGGAGGTGTCTGAACACCATCTGAAAATTAGCAAAAGTCATTACAATTCACTAATATTCCATTGGTTTAACTCTTTCTTTATCTTAACAGAGTTGAATTAGCGGTGGCAGCACTTCAGATGGCTTGAATAAGAGACTCAGATGTTGAAACTGAACAAGGAAGGTTTGTCCCCTCTTTTTCACTCTCAAGGTATACTGCTAATATGGAAAGAGTAATGACAGTGTAGTAACTCTCAGCAACATCAAATTCCAAAGTTCCTAAATTGTGCCTACTACTCATCATGTTCTACTGATTTGATTTTGATGCATGAATTCAAAAATAACCCTAAAAATGTGTATTAACAAGCCAGATTAAATACTAAATATACTTGACACTGAAACCTAGAGCAGAAGGAACCTGCATGTATGTTCCCTATAGCTATGCTTTCCCAGTAGTGAAAGACTACAGAAATAATAGTGCATATTATCACTGCAGTTGCAATAGTTTGGGTATGTAGGAGAGGGCACTGGTTATTAACATTTATGGAAAAGTTAAACTTCAAATCCATGGAAAAAAAATTAGCAGCTTAATAGAAAGAACCCTAACAGAAGAGTGAGCTCTATGCAGAAATTTGCTTAAGCTATTACTAGAGAAACAATATACCTGAATCAGTCTTCTTTAATAATATCATACCCCAAGGCCAGAAAAAAAGGTCAGGGATAATTGGTGCAACAGTAGTGCTGGACACACATTTTAAAGTGGTATCCTGTGATGAATGCCACCTAATAGCTTCTTTAATTATCTTCTCATTCCAATATTAGAAAACTTACAAAAAAGCAAGTATTTTTTTGGAAGAGGAAGGAACATTCCTAGAAACTGATTTCTAATTACCACTTTATAGCCTCTGTAAGCAAAGCAATCTACTGAAAGGACAACCTCTATACTTAAAATCCAGTAGCTAGAAACAATGCATACAGTAACAAGCTTAGGAAAGGGAAATCACACACTTTTTTTTCATATTGAATAGTCTATATGACAAGGAATACAGGAAAGTACAATGAAATGCCAAACTAGGAGGAGGACAGGATTTTTTTATTAGTACTTCCATGATCTGATAACAAAAAGATCTTTTCTAGTAAAGTATATGGTTATAATACAACCCATTTAAGTGTAGCTTTTCATTTACAGACTTGGCAAACAAACAAAACCAATGCAATTAGATTTTAATTTTTTCATCAAAATACCTTTGCCCAGTAGGAAAACTGCGACACTGAGTAGTTCCCCCTGCCTGGGGCTGCCATTAAAGACCAGCAGAGCACCAATTCCTTCCTATCTCCACCTCTTTATTCTTTAAATATTTTGAAGACATGACCATGTAAGAATAAACCAATGTTACAAGGTACACCGAGGGTAAGTGAACAGGTATCTTTGGTAGAATGAAACTTCTGAAGTAGTTGTAAACCTATAGCAATTGGAGCTCTGTTATCCAAATGAAATGATCCCTCCTAGGGCCAACCTACCGACCTCAAACTAGTAGTGAACATATGCCATTGCAAAGGTTTTCCTTTTGGAAAGCTGTGGGTTTGTGGGGTTTTTTTGTTTTGTTTTGGTGTGGTTTGGGGTTTGTTGGTTTTTTTTCCTCATTTTTGAGCCAAACTGATCAAGAATGTCACTTCTTGTGATGATACAGTTTGCTCCTTTGAGTTAAATTTATTCTGTGAAAGAAGTGAAGAAATACAACAAAGCCAAATTTTCATGGTCTACAGGTTGTAGCCATTGAGAAGGTTGTAACTTTCCACAGTTTTCACTTTCACCCTGAGTAGATGGAAACCGAATAAGCAAGTTGGCAACAAGACAGATCTAGGGCACATCCATGAAAATGTACACAAGTGAACTTACTGTATTGCTGAGTGGTTCCTCGGGGGTAATTTTCTTGTTTGTGTTTTTTAGTTTGTTTTGTATTTAGGCTTTGTTTAGGGGCTACCTAAAGAATTATCAAGTAATTAATAAAACTGCAAAAAGTAAGCAAGCAGATGTAATTTTTTTTCCTCACTAGATTTAAACGACCAGACACAACTGACACAAAAAAATGAAATCTGTGTCCAAACAAGCAGAAAACAACAATTTTTCTTCTCAGACCCTGACAGCTGCCAAGTTCAAGCTCAAAACTTTGCTGAACAAGTCTATCTTTCAAATAGCAGCATCCCTTTTTTGTGTGTGTTAAGAATACATGCTGATTACAGAGACAATGCAGCAAGCTACCAATAACGTACAGAAAACTCTTACACTGTACTACCATTTCCTATATGCTTGCCAATCACATCCAGAAATCCCCCAACCTCTTCTTTCTATAGCTTTTATTTAATTTTTCCTCCTCCCACTCAATCATAGGAGGCAGGGAGTTAACTGTTTACTAAAATTACACCGGATGAAGCTCTCCAGAACACTCAGTGTCTACTGATGGTACCAATGAGAAAATTGTCATTGTCCCTTCAATATTTTTAAGGAGTGATATGGAAGTTTGGAAACATGGTCCCTGCTTTTTTAAGGCTATAGTTCACTGCTTAGAGATGACATGGCCATATTTTTAAATGTCTTCTGGTTTGTAGAGGAGTTACTGACTAGATGTCATGTATGTTCCTAAATCATGAGAAAATATATCAGTTTAAAGGACATACTTGACTGGGACTAACATTTATTGTCTAAATATTTAGACAACATTGTCTAAATTTTTAGCTATCCCCTGAAAACTTTACATAATGGTGTTATCCATTATGAGAGTGCTTACAGTTGGCCAGAGCATGGAAATGGATTACCTAGACCTTTTCTCACATTAAGTTCCCCCAAGACAATCACCTCCTGAAATGTAAAAGCCAAACCCCACTAGAATATCAATTTGCACAATGACATTTCAACCACACAGTAGTCAAAGTGACTATATGAAACAGAAGAGAAGTAACAGGGATTTTTAATTAGCTCTGACCCCTGTTGTTGCAGACAAGTCACTGTTTTGGGACCTGGTTCAGTCATCTCCTTGGCTTTCTCAGCTGCAGGAGACTGTGCAATCTTCTCTGGTCCTGGGAAGCTTTGCTTTGTCACCACAGGGTGACAAATCTCTCCTCAAGCCACAACACAGAGAGACCATCTCTCACATTTTATACTTTGAGAAATGCTAAAACACCCCACTTTTAGTTTGAGGAGTTCTTTCAGTGTTGATCTGAGAGTAGAAACAAGCTCTGAATTAAGAAAGATACTAGAACCGTAGCAGAATTTACTTCTTAGTATGAACAAAGCATGTAACTTATTTTGATTTCTTCCATAAGATCAGGCATATAGCAAATTAAAAATACTTATATACCATCTTTGCTAGCTAGATGTAAGAAGGTAGTAGAATTTGCTTTTACTCTTCTGTTCCTCTTAAACAACAACCAGCCAACAAGAATCTAACTCTAGCTCACTAAGGATTAGGTAGATAAACATGGCTTATTTATGAAACAAGATGACTCCATTTCGCCCAACTTATAGCAGCATGTATCCAACATAAGCATTTGATTTTATGCCACATACCCAGAAATTTTCAACTGTAAATTCTTAAGACTGTATTTTTTACTGTAAGATTGTTTTAAATGAAAAATTGCAAATTACAGCATACTAACATGAGCTTTGATGAAAAGTACATGCAGAGTAAATGCAGTTCACAAACTCTGTGCTACTGGTATATCATGAACAGAGGAGAAGTGAATAGAGGAAACACTGCAGTGGCTTAGCCTTCTCTGAAATGTTCTCAAAACCAACTCTGCAATAATTCTTACTGGTGTAAGAAGCTAATATTTTTCACAGCACCATGTACAATAAAATAATTATATTTATGTTTTTAAAGATTAAGACAAACATACTTTGTGCAGCACTGTTTTAAATGTCATTTCAAACACAACAGGAACCCATGTCATATCTTATAGCACACAGCTATCTGAAGATAGAGTTACCAAGTTAAAAATCCATGAAACACAGAGTACACTGAGTTTTCACAGCAGCTCAATACTTTTCTGTGAAAACTGTTGGTAATCTTTGCAAAGCAACTCTTGCCCACTGAGTTCCTAACTACAAGTTTTTAGAAAGCCTCTTACCTTGTCCTCTTGGTGTTCGTTTCCTGCGATCTCTGAATGCTGCTCCGGACTGCAAGGCCTCAAGCAGACTATCCATCACTCCTGTCTCATCACCCTCTGAGATAGGAGAAAAACAACATGAATCTCAGTACAATTGAAATCAGACTCTAGGAAAAAAAAAAGTGTTGTCAAGTTTATATAACACTTCCAAATAAGAAACTTATACATTTTAGTGCAGTGGATACTGTCAGTGCTTCAGGTATCACTGTCTAGTTTCCGTATGATGCTCTATTAAGCAAAATTGATGCCAATCCTACTGCTCTTTCAACTTTGAGATGTTGCCTTGTGCATTATTGATGACATCTTCAGCATGCAGATAGACAGCTGCTGGTGAATGACTGCTGTCTCACTGTTAAATACTTTTAAGACTTTCCTCAAGTAGAAACAGGTAATTTCTGATTGCTTTAATCAACGCACATGGAAAATCTGATGAAACTGAATGGCCCTAAGTAAAATACTTGCAATACTGCAAGTATTTCATACATTGTCTCCCATCCTCCTGATGCATGCAAGCCTTGGAAAAAAATGTTTATCTGTAAGACATGCGAGGATATACATGCTATGTTATACACATGTAACAGCATACCACAGCACAGCCTAAGGTAAGGTAAGGAACGAACAAAGAGGGGAGAACACTAGGTGAAAGTAGGTAGCGTAATATTTAAAAGCCTAACATTTCTACTGCTAAATTTTTCTCTTGCCTTTTTCATATCCAAGCAAACCTGTAGCCTTTAAATTGCTGGACTTTATGGGGCACCATATAAAGCTGGGTAGAAAGATTACTTCCTTTTTATGTATTTAAGTTTTTAACTTCCTTTGCATTTCAAGTCTGTTAATAACCATTGATAGCTGCATTCAACAGTGTGACAAATTTAGGTCAAAGAACTGCAATGTTACAAAACTATTGTTTTTATAAATGCCTCTTTCTCTGTTCACATGTCTGTGTTATAACCCAAAATGAAAACATAGACTAGACTCAGAGGTAGGTGGACATTTTATTCACATCTCTCAGACTTCAAGTTAATATAAATTTCCCCATCACAAAGTGGGAAGATAATTACTTCATGCAAAAGATGTATATTACAGTAAAACACTTGTGACTCACACAAAGTGTAGGAGGTTAAATGCACATTCAAGCTCTCAAATGTTCAAGTTTAAAAGCAGTTAATTAATGCAAAAGTGATTCTGCCCTGGTTCTCCATTACATTTCGATTTATTAGACTAAAATCAGACTTGATATAAGTGCACACTGATCCTAAAACAGTATCTGGTTCAAATTTCAACATGATGATCATCAGTGTAACTACCTGATAAATTTAAATTATACATCAACCTAATTCAAACCATTATGTACAATATACAACACATACATGAAGTTATCTCCAGTATAAGATGAAAGGGAGAAGAGCAAGAGTAGCAACCAGCAGAAGGCTCTGAAATACCAGTTTTTACTGGTATTTTACATTTTTTCTAAAAATCCTTAAAAAACTAAGCTTCTGAGGGATAAATGAGTGCAGTAGCTGTTCTTCATTCACACTCAAATACACAAGGCCAGGATCTTGTCTAAAGCATACAACATAATTATTTGTCTTTGTGCTCCTTATCAAATGCATGCTTATTCATTGATTTATTGTTGGCTGTGTATTAAATTTATTTTCTAAATCAAAGGTGTGTGAATACACTTTGTCCAAACTAATACACATCAAATTGGTCTGAAACATGTAATGAATGCAATACATAGAATTAGTTAATATGTTAAATATTTTATGCATAGAAAAATTACAGTATCATTCAATCTTCATTAAAAATAAGAGTTAAGAGTTTATTCAAAAAGACAAAAATCCTTCAATACTACATAAATGTTTATGCAGCCTTTCACTTCTTTTTTGCTGAGTGTGCTACTCTCTCTGCTCATTACTGCAACTGCTAAAAACACCTTCTTTTTGGAATCTCAAAATACACCCTATAAAGACACATAAATTAATGAAGCTGTAGAACACAGTGATGAAATTTTTAACTCCTCAAAGTAAAATCTATGCTACGTCTGATCTCAGCACTGCATCTGGATCAAAGTCGTTAGGTGATTAAGTGGGAACTGGACAAAGAACTGCATTTTCAGGTAGCCTTCGTTAAAATTCGTAACTAAAATTCAATAGAAATTTCAGCCTGTCCCCACAGTTCCTGTGGGGAGGCACAGACAGAGGAAAAAAAGATATGATATATGAACAAATAAAGTCACATCTGAGATGAGCAGGCAGTGTTAATGTCATGATACTCAAACTTTTCATAATTTTTGACCAGTTATAGAAAACAGAAGAAAGGAAAGAGAAAAAGGAATTGGACTAGGCCATAACATGGAAGTGTATATAAGAAAGACTGGCATAAGCTTCATCCACTTAGGAATGCTCAGGAATTGTCATATCAAGCATCTAGTAACAAATTTGCTGTGTATAAAGGCAATACTCTGGATGTTACACTTGGCTTTTATAAAGAACAACAGATTTTAGATGAACTGGTCATAATAAGCATTTATTATTTGTGGTCAGATCTTTATGTTAAATGACTAGACTGCCAATTTCAAAAAGGAGATCTTTGATAAACCATAAGAAATTAAATCAGAAAACAAAGATTTGGAAGTACAAAAGGGTGGGGGCTAGGGGGTGAAAGACAGTATTACAAATAAACCAGCGTTAGACATGTATAATAATGCCACACAGTCAAACTGAGTGAAATTTTCACTTCAGTGTTAATGAACATAAATAAAACTACCCCTTGAAACAAAGACAAGATAGATAAATGACAATGGATGGGTAATGCCAAATCAGCACTAGAAGCCTTTCTATTTTCAACTGTCTTCTAGTGTAGATATGACCTTGATATTTATGAGGAAAACTATTCTTCCAAATAAAAATTGTTTGTTTAGAATGTTTACAAAGTCAAAAATATATTAGAAAGTGTGTGATCAAGCATGACTAGTCTTAGTGTGTTGAAGAAAAATCAAGTTCTAAACTTCAGAATTAAACTACTAATTGATTGTAATGTAAGGTTCTTCCCCAAAAAAGTCAATGTCAGATAAAAACAAAGCATATAATCTATTCCCAGAACATTATTTTTTAACTTCAGCTTTTCAAAGATACATAACCTGTCCTAAACTCAAACCATTATTTATATTTTATCCTACAGCAAATGGCATGTGAATATGGAATGACAGTATTAACTTCACAATTCTAAATATTTAGAAACAAGAGAGGAAAAGAAACATTTTTAAAAAAAGGTAAAATTAATGTAAGTGTGCTTTGCATGTGCAATACCATTCTAGGAAAGACTGTGATAGTATTACATGAGCCTTTTCCTTTGTAAAATATAAAATCAAGATATAAAAAAATATTCCTCAATGTGTGAAGGACTAAAAGTTTCAAGCACACTTTTAGACGAGACCTGGTATCACTGACTGAGTTTCCCTTCTGCTTTGTACACATAAGTTTTTTAATTGTCACCATCCTTAGATGGAAATCTCTCTTTGACAAGTACTTAAGATAGGAAGTGTTTAAAAAAAAAAAAAAAATCAAGATGCTTTGCTGTTCTGTGTGCCTTATGTTCCTTGTATCCACTTGTGCCGGTTTTGGCTGGGATAGAGTCCAGACCAGCGAGTGGGCTGGGGGTGCACAACAAGTTGGGAAGGGACACAGCTGGGACAGCTGACCCCAACTGACCAAAGGTATATTCTATACCATATGGTGTCATGATCAGCATGTAGAGCTGAGGAAAGAAGGAGGAATGGGGGGGCGTTTGGAGTGATGGCATTTTGCCTTCCCAAGTAACCGTTATGCCTGATGGAGCCCCACTTTCCTGGGGATTGCTGAACATCTGCCTGCAGATGGGAAGAGATGAATGAATTCCTGGCTTCGCTTTGCTTGTATGCTCAGCTTTTGCTTTACCTATTAAACTGTCTTTATCTCAACCCACCAGTTTACTCACTTTTACCCTTCCCATTCTCTGCCCCATCCCACCAGGAGACAGCGAGTGAGTGGCTGTGTGGTGCTTAGCTGCTGGCTGGGGTTAAAGCATGACACCACTGTAAGAGAACTTGGATAAAAACAGTTCAAGCAGTTAACAGTGCAGAGATAAAGCTCATCAAGCACATCAGGCCTCTCACCCAACACATAAGTACATGGAGCTGACATTTAACCTACCTCTGGAACACAGCAGAGGGATTAAAGTATCTTTACTTTTTGAAAAATAGTTACTTGAAATAGCCTGCTCTTGCACTCTACTATGACTATATCTGACACAGATGTAAAACTAGGATTCCTCAGAATAGGTAGGCAATTTATTTTAGCATAATATGTACACTGCTAAATTACCTATGAGGACTGCAACAAAGGTAGAAAGCAAACACTTGAGAATGAAAAATGTTTATTTTTTCTTATTTTTCAGAAAGCAAACACAATACTTTCACCCGCTTCTGAAGTTGTCTGAAACAGAGGAACCATTTCAACATGCAGATGAAGATAAAATATTTCCCTTTGCTATCACTGCTAGCACCTTATGAAATACGACCCTTAAGTGAGATTTAGCATCCTTGTTATTGATAGTACATTCCTTTACCACATACTGAAAAATCTCATCTAAACCTCAAAGATATCCTAACATCCATACCTCCTGATACGAAATGTAAAATTATGTTCTTTTCTATTTATAACTCACACCATTAAAATGAAAATTGAAGCTGACAAAAAATATACAGTTAAAGTATCATTCTTCTGCTAGCCCAAGTAGCTACAAAAGCTACAGCTGAGCCAAGACAATAAGTTTTACTGTCTTTTGGGGGGTTTTTCCTTTTTTTTTTTTTAAATTTCATATTGCTGAAATGTCGTACTGGAAACTGAAATGTGTTTAAGTCTGTTGTAGCCTATGAGGCTTTTAAAATCATTCTTGCAATTAAAAGAGCAATTCTGAAAGATCATACTAGAAACCATGTGGCAGTGCTCTGTGTAGGGTCTAACCTGAACAAAGAATGAGAAACGTATGTAAAATCTGAGCTCTTTCATAAACTT